TTTTTTCTTTTTTTTTCTTTTTTTTTCTTTTTTTTTCTTTTTTTTCTTTTTTTTTTCTTTTTTTTTTTCTTTTTTTTTCTTTTTTTTTCTTCCTTTTTTCTTTTTTTTTCTTTTTTTTTTTCTTTTTCTTTTCTTTTCTTTTTTTTTTCTTTTCTTTTTTTTTTTTTTTCGAAAAAAAATTCGTTTCTTTTTTGATTCGATGATACCTTTTTTGGGGGGGGGGAGGGGGGAGGGTGGGAGAGATAGAGAGAGAGAAAGCGGGGGTGCGGGAAGGGGGAGGGGGCGATCTTGGCTTGGGATGAGTGGTTTGGTTTGAATGAGTGGTTGGGTTGATGGAGTGTGTAGAGTGTGTAGAGTGTGTAGAGTGTGTAGAGTGTGTAGAGTGTGTAGAGTGTGTAGAGTGTGTATGTATGTATGGTTTGTCTGTATAGGTAAATAAACGAGCGGCTGCGAGCGGCTGCTGCTAATATTACTCCGTATAGGTAGTTAAAGGCTTACTTACTTGCCTACCTGGCTACCTACCTATAGGAAGAGAGAGAATGAGTCTAGCGAATTTAGGAAAAAAATGGAAGATATATACATATGATAAGCTTATAATACTACGTAATTACCAAAGACGACGCAGATTTTTTATTTATTTATTTCGGAAGGGAAAGGTAATATGATATTACGGTAATACGGTAGTACACCATTACACCGTAAGGCAAGCAAGTTACGGAGTATACGCGACCCCGTACTTAGGTAACCTCGGGTTCCCTCCCCCCATATTACCGTAGCAAGCCTGCTGCTTGCTTATTCGACCTAATCGTCCCCCAGGTCGGAGCACAAGCCAGAGAGGCAAGGCTTGCGGTTTGCAATTCCTAGTCCTCTTCAGCGACACGGTCAATCTTCAGCGAATACGGTCAATCCCTTGCCCCCTTTTTTTATTGCAATATATATATATTACTTACGTACCCCTTAACCAAAAAAAAAAATTGATAATAAAATATACTGTTGCTCTTTATTGTGAGATTTACTCTGAAAAAAAAAAGAGAGAAAAAAAGAGAATTAATGTGATTTTCGGAAAACGCAATTGTGTTTTGTATTTCAGCCTCGTTGGCGCTTATTCAATGTTATTCTAAAATTATATAAACAGCTGAATAAGTAAATAGACACAAATAATCACATATATCTTTTGATGAATCGTAGTGGCCAGCTTTAAATCTATATCGCTCTTTGTTTTTGATGATAGATCTATCGATCGTTATAAATTCGTATTCTTTTTTTCTGAGGGCGCCGATCAATTTCAAAGCTCCGCATCTTTATTCATTAGCGCAACGCATTATATGCAATTCATTATAGCACGCATATAAAACTCTTTTATTAAACAACTAATAAATATTAAAGGCAAATAATTCGTACTTAAGCGTACTTATTTTACATACTGTAATGCGTTGTTTAAACTCTTTTTTTTTCAAATATAATATGTAACAAGGTCTTGCCTCTGGCTGCCCTCCGCAAGCTCCGGGGCCAGAGGAGACCTTGCTTCGCCCGGTCGTGGTGCGAGGCTGCCTTCCGCATCGATTTTCTATAAGAAATAGTATTTAAAAAGATGTAAAGAAAATATGTTCGCGGTGTAATATTCGTAGCTATATAATCCTTAATAATAGCTTCTTTTAGCGTGATGCAGCTAGCTATCTTTTGAATATTTATATAGTCTTTTTTTTATAGAATAGC